ACCTGACCTTTCTTTGCTTTAGTGTGTATTTTTGCCTGTGTGCACATGGGTTAATATCTGCTGGTTTGCATGCCCTTGGTATAATTTATTTTTATAACCATGAGTGGATATATACAAAATTTTCCTACAGGAAACATGTAATAACTTTTGATAAAAGATTGCCTTAATTGCTCTGAAACCCAAGTATTCTTAAAGCTTTAGACAAATAGGTTATCTAATGAAGCAGACAGGCAGAGAAAAGGTGATCCTCCTCTAAGATGTATCACCTTTTAGAAACAATTTCAATTAGGTATTTTCCATTTATTTTATGTGTTTCTTTAAATTAGACAACTCTACCAACATAAAGATCTTGATTCTAATGATTATTACAAAGTATCTGTAAGGATGTCAGCTGCAAAACAGTTTCCTTTTCTAATGGTTTGAGACCATTATAAAGACCATCCTCAAGTTTTGCTATCTGGCAATTAAGAACATGAATTTCTTTCCATGTGATTGTGAGAGAGATTTCTGTGTAACTTCATACCAAAAAAGTTTCAATATCTATTAAATGTGTTAAAAATACTTTAGAAGTTGATTTAGGCATATTTTCCATTGATCTGAAAAGCATGAGATTAGAGACAGGGTCTGACCCTGTACATATATGCATAGTATGTTTTGTATGCTGGATGTTTTTGGATGCCTGACATGCCTTAAGCAACAGTCTGAGTCTTGCTGCGCTTTTATTTTTATTGCAGTAAAAATATCTGTTACTTTTTATTTTTCTGATTACACAGTCTTTGATTTTAGTTTTTCTTGCTGTAGAGGCATTCGTTATATTCTGTTAGCAGATGAAAGACTATTGTGATTATGCTATACTATTTATGTTGGCAAATACATTTTCTATTTTTCCTCCTTTAAATCAGTTGGAACTTCTGCTCTTATTACTGAAATTATGAAAAAAGCTATGCTGAAAGATAAACAACACTGTTGCCTAATCATAAAGCTTGGACTGCAATTGATAAATGTATTTCATCAGTCTGTATATAAAAATATATTTCCATTACAGAATCACCATAAAAATATTAAGAGAAAAAGAAAAGTTTATTTCAGATTACCATCAGTTACTTCAGGAAACTTACAGCAACTATTATAAAGTGCATCAAAATATCAGTGAAACAAAGCAACAGTTAAATTAAGTATCTTTTATACAGAAATTTTGAACATACACTGGGAAGTACATTCACAGAATCATGGATCTGATGTATTCTCTTAAGCCTTTTATGTCCTCCCCTTCTAACACTTACAAAACTATCAACAGTTTTGCTTTTCTTTAGTTAAAGATCAATTTTGCCCCAAAATGTGTAATAAATTACCCGATGTACATTACTAAGGAAAATTAAAAATATAAAAGATTGTCCAAGTTTTTTCAGATGGAATATTTTATATTTGATTTATAATTTTTCATTTCTTCTTTAGTATGATTCCATGCACATATTTTAAATTACTCTCTTTTATAGTTTTCCTTTTTCTTAGGATCATAATTATGCTTCTATTTAGGAGAGGTCACTGATGTAATGGTTCTGGGCTGCACACCAAAAAATGGTCAGGTGTAGCCCAGACCCTGCACAAAAAAATGTTTTATTTCCAAAAACAATATCTAATGCTGTGTTGTGGCTAACAATGCTAACACATCACCCTTTATATCAATAAATCTCATTTTGATACTTAATGAGTCATAAGTTTTTTAGCCCAACACAGTTGCTTGACCTCACTGCCCAACAAGAGGTTGCAGATTTAAAGCAAAATTGTTTCTCTTTGAATGGTTATAATGCAGTGAGACAGTGCAGCGAGGCAGTCACAGCAATGAATTTATTACAGTAGCAGGAAACCTAATAGGCTATTTGTTTATTATGGTTATTCTCCAACACCCAGTACTGCATTTTGAGGTAGGCTGACCAGATTTAAAAAGCAGGTCTCCTTCAAGGAAGGAATTAGGAAAAATTTTAGACAAAGTCGCAGTGATCTTAAGCAGTCTGTAGTTATCTGCTACCTACTTGGCAAGCTGTCTTTGATACCAAAACTTAATATAAAACTTTTCTACATCCTGATGTGTCCCTGTAAGTCCTAGCACATAAATGAATGGTACTTTTCCATTTGGGATGTTACCAAAGAATTAACTGTAGTATGTGAGCTACCTTGGGATAAAATAAGGTGCCCCTGGCCCGAAATTAAAACATTAGCTTTAATAGCAAGAAGGTGACATTGCAAGCACAAGAAATAAATTTGACTTGGCTTTAAAATGCACAGCAAAAAACAGGCATCAGGTCATCAGGACAGCAACAAAATTGGTTTTTGGTTTGGTTTTTTTTAACAAAGGACATACATAGATTGTGCATCATTAATGCATTCATGGGACAGTTCTAAGAACACCAGTGGGAAACAGTGAAAAATACTTAGTCCACAACCATTATTTTCTGAAAGGTGGGACTGTTAAAAGAACAGATTAATAGTCTATGGAATGGGTTCAGGGCTTGTAAATAACAAAAAAAAAGTCAAGATGCCTATAAATTCCCTTAAACGTAAACATATGCAATTTACATAGCAGTAAAAAAAAATATGTACACTACCACAGTTACAGAAATTGCAAAAGTGCAATCCCAATTTCATTTTATTGCTTTTGCAAGGAAACGGGAATTTCTATGGAGTAGCCACCCCCATTTTGTTGACAAACCTTAAAAAACCTAGAGGAAACAAGAAATAATTGGAAGGAATTGTAAATACAAAGAAAAAAAAATGTTTTTTTTTCCCCCATAATTTCAGTATTGAATAATCTAAGCCATAGTCATTAATAACAATTTTTTCATTCTGGGAAGAGAGGGAAAAAAAATAGATTTCTAAGGTGAAACAAAAAGACTTCATCATTGCCCAATGAATTAATTAGCTTTTCACTTTATGCAGTGCTGAGCCAACAGAGCTGTGCACATGCAAGCGTTTGTAAAATTCAGGATCTTAGACTATGTCCTGTGAACATAGTGGGACTAGTCAACTTGTAGTGGCTGCTAAAAGACAGGCAGTAATGATCTGATGCATTTCATCCCTGGGAACTTACTCTGTGAATACAATTAACAGTTTGGCTGAGAACAGGAAGAAAACTCAGTAAATTCTGTACGACTTCCCCCAACAGGAAGGGGGTATGCTGATTTTCTCTTTGTCATTGATGACTCAGATACTTCTTAAACATGAAGAAAATCCTCTCGTTCTAAGTTTAAGCCACTCTAAGGCTGAGAATACACTACTAATGAAAGCTTTATGAAAAACAGATGAACAAAAGATTTGACTACATGCTATTCTCTTGCATCCTTCAAGAGCTTCAAAATAAAGGAAAAATACTACTGCAGTCAGATGTAATTTTGGGGCAGCTCTTCTCCGTAGAAAAGTAGATGTTAGATTACCAATCAAAAAGTCTAAAATCAACCATGCATCTAGATAAATATTGGTAACTTCTTTACCTGCCATTTCTACTTTAGAAGGTATCATAATCTACACTGTGCCTCAGCTCACTAAAAATAAGCTATATTTGATGTCTTGACTTGGATCAACAAAAGCACACTACTGTGTATCAAACATTTATTCAAAAAACTCAATCATTTTTAAAAAAAAAACAGTGAATAACTGAGTAGACATGAAGCAGTCTGGTCTCAACTGTGCATAAGAACTTGGTTTTGTGAATTAATGCTGTAACCTCTGCAGTAAACCCTCCATCTAGACAATGTTCTTCTGAGACATAACAGGATACTTCTTGAAAATTAGATTCTAGATTTCCATTTTTCTGGGGGTTTTTGTTTGTGGGCTGGTTTATGTTGCTGTTAAGATTTTGTTGTTTAGGTTTTTTTTTTTTAATTTAGGTTTCTATTAAGCATTTCTGCCGAAGTCTTCTGGTTTCTGTATAATTAGCTTGCACCAATTTTACCTATTTTTGTCTTCTTTTAATTTTATTAAAATTAAATATTTTATTCAGAAGTCTTTTTTTTTCTAAGGAGATTCTGAAGATCAGGGCATGTTGGCCAGCACTGTTCCAGCTTTTGGAATTCTTTCTAATCACTCAGTTCTGGTGGTGTGAGGTAGCATTTGGGGAGCAGCCTGACATCTCATTGTATTTTCTTCCAGGCCAGTTCTGCATTCTTATCCGCTTCTGTGTACCTCTTGCTTGTGTAAAAACTGAGCATTCCTACTTACAGTATTTTTAAATACTCTGGCTTATGACTATGGTTGGTGTCAATACAGAAAATTCAGTTTTTAATTTCCATATGCATTAGGTACTTGAACTTACCTAATTTAGGACTTTAGCCTACAAACTTTCAAGTTCAAGCATCTTTGGGAGCTCATTTTTCAAGCATTAGTAATTTTTGGGAACTAACTACTTTAAATTAGACATAAAAATTCCCCAGTTCTACAGTAAAAATCGGGTCAGGAGAATTCCAGAGGAAGGAACCCATTCAAGAAAGGAGGATCTACTTTTCCCTACTTCAAGACTTCACAGTTTACCTCCCAGATTTTAAAGGAACGTATTTTTCATACTTTGGCTTCACAAGAAGTCTTTTTAAAATGTAAAACCTCACATGCTTTTAAATTCAAATACACCTGAGAGCATGACTTGCAATTTCTGTATAGTTGGCTTGGCAACGCTGTTCGTTTTGCAGAATCCAGTTTTGCATTTAAATACGCCTTGATTAGGCCACAGCTTTCATGATTTGTAAGAACTCGTTAAGACCTGCGTGGCCTCTAACCCAAGCGTGAGCACGGTGACAGGCGAGCGGGCTCCAGAGCTGCGCCATGGGCTTCCACGCTCCTGAAAGTCCATTCATTTTACTCAAACCGATCCACCTCCTCACCTCCCAAAAGCTGCCGCCTCCGAGCTGATCAAGGGGGGAGCGGGAGAGCCCGAGGCATTACAGGGCGCAGCCTTACTGCGGCCATTTTATCGTCTAGGGGCCGCCGGCGAAGCGCGGGTGCCGGGCCGGGCGAGCCGGGGGTCCCGGCAGGGGTGTGCCGGTGAGGTCCCGCCGCGCCGTTCATGGAGGAGAGTGGCGGCAGCTCGACGCGCACCATTCCCTTATCCTCCCCGTGTGCTCTGAGGTACCGCCGGCGGAGAGCCTGCCAGGCCCGCCTCCCCCGCCGGGCGCCATCAGCGGCTGCTGGGCCAGACCCAGCCGGCAACCGCTCGGGGGACTGCTGGTGGCGGGCTCGGTGAGGGAGGAGCGGGTGCGCTTCCTCTGCTTCCTCCTGCACGGGGCCCGGAAAGCAGCGCGGCCCGGGCCGCCGTGCGCGCGGACTCGGAGCGGGAGAGGGCCGGGCCTCGGAGGCGCCGCCGCCGCTGCGGGTCACCCAGCCTTCCGCAGTGGGGGTGGGCGGCGGAGCGCGCAGGCCGGGGGAAGGGCCAGGCCCCGCCGTCTCTCTGGGCGATGGAGTGAGTGAGGGAGCGAGGCTCGGCAGCAGGAAGATGGCCGGTGGCAGCAGTGGCGGCGGCTGCAGAGACAGCTTGTTTCTGGAAGGTGAGTATATGGCTGAGAAGGGGGGGAATGCGGCCCATGGGCTGCATTTCCCTTCTGGCAACCAGTAAGGGGCACAGTACAGACCGGGGAATGGGAGAGGCGTGCGTGTGTGCATCTGAGGGGTAGAGGGGGAGGAATGGGTCCCCTTCGGGGGACGACGACAATGAGAGGTGGCTTCGTAGTGGGGGAAGGGTGGGTGCCGTCAAGGGGTGGTTTGATTTGGTGAAAAGAGACCTACTTTTGAGGGAGGGGTTAGTGAGGGCGAGTCTATGCCTTATTCCTTTTCTTTTATTTCTACCGAGGCTTTGGAAGTGCAGTGGTTTCTTTGTAGGGGCAGAGGTCTGAGAGTAGCCTGAGCTTGGTGCAGCAGGGCCGGTTTTGCAGCGGGAGGGATCTTCTGTCGGTGGGCTGGTGGGCGGCCGAGCAAGGTTAGCTCTAGGTGAGGAGGGGAGGCCAGGATTGCTGTGCCGCCTCCCCGCTGCACTGCCTTGCCTTTAGCTTGGTCTCAGGCCCCGGCCTAGCCCGTACCCTTTCACCCTACCATATAATGAGGCTCGTGTGCTTCTAAAATACTATTTTAAATGTTTGGGACTGAGGTTAATTCTGGGAGGGGTATCATCCTTACATTTACGATACGAGGCTGATGATGAATCTGTCCATAGCAAGTGAAAGAAACCTTTAGCGTGTATAAAGCCTTGAGTAATTTTTTTGATGTATGGGTTAGGTGGTTGGTTTGTTTGTTTGCTTGTTTTTTGTCACTATAAAGCTATTAATTATAATGCAGAAAGTCTCCTGAAATTTGAATGCCTCTAACTGTTGAGACTTCAGTTTCACCAATAAGAAAAAAAATAAATCTGCTATTGTAATCTTACAACATTGCTATAAGCACATATCTTGATGGCATAGGCCAATAGTCTGTTAAATTCTGCTAAAGTACCATGATGATAACAAAGAAAAATACATGTTAATGAAATACATTATTCCTCATAAGCAGAGTTTTTCAAGTCGGGGATAAGTTTAGCATTGGAGATTTTGCAGTACCTTTATTACACAGAGCACACACCTCTTGCAGATTTTCTCCTGCTGCAGTATGTTGGGCTTTGTTTTTTATTACTAGATGTTCTGGAATAGAGGTACTGTATGAACAAAAATACTGCTTGTTGTTTTGAGTAATTAATCTGAAATTCTGATGTTTAGAAACTCTTTCTGCTTAATAATGGCTATTATGTTACTTCCCTATTACCTTTAAAGTGGTGAAATGCAGACACTGTTTTTTCCTGAACTCTCTCCACAGAATACAGTGAGCTTTGCTCAGACAACTAAAAGTGTCAAGGTGATGATGACTAGTCACTGTCTTCTTTTGTACACCTTGGCTATTTGCTGGTTGGACAGGTGGCTAAGAAAAGACAGATTTCATACACATCACCCACATGTTTTCTACGTAGGAGATGTCTTTCCAAGAGCAGGACCAATACAACACTGGGTAGTGTACCCATTAGAAGCTTTGATATTCCACGGCTGGTGAATTGAGTTATCAGCTGGTTTTGTGTTTCCTCAGTATTTGGGGGCATGTTAATTTTAGGACTGATGATGTGATAGCGTGTGAGTGCGCATGCATGTGTGAAGCAAAACTAATGTGGATGGTGACAAAAAAATTCTGAGGATGGCCTGAGTCCAAATGGGATGATAGTACTATACCAGATCTAGTAAGAGCTGGTAAACTTTGTACTGATTTGAAACAAAGGAAAAAGAAGGCTTTCTGATGTTGAGAGGGATGAGATGTGCTTATTAGGGATGTTGACTTTATAGGAAAATGTAAAGTCACAGAATATGTATATATTTATAGGGTTTTTTGGCAATCTGTAATCTGGAGCTGAGAGCACATTAGATGCACCTAACGATGGTAGAACCACCATTATCCAAAGGTGAGACAAGCGCAAGAGTGCCAGAATTGTGAAACAAGTGTAACGTGGACAAAAGCAGGGATAAAAGTGTATAGAGTAGGAAATATGGCAACTTCTACTGCAAGATGATGATTAATCCATGAACCTATAGTTACATCTATAAGTGGTCTGTGTATATTTCATTAATTCTGTTGAAGTCTATGTAAGCAACAATCAAAAATTGTTTACTTGATGTTTTTGGAAGTGTTATATTAAAGGCTGGTAAAGAGGAAGGGGGGGGACTCTTATGTCCATCCCTGGTGTTAAAGCATAAAACTGATTATGTGCCAAATAGATGTTAAATCCATCACTGATTAAACTCAGTCTAATGGAAACAGTGCTGTTGAAATATGTACCTATATGTGTATGTGTGTATACATATGTGTACACAGAAACTTCTGATCCTATCATGCTTATGCTGAGTATCAGTCAGACTTAAACATGCAGGTAAATTAAATAAATTGCTTTTAAGTGTGATGGTTGTTCAGAATTTTTTTTTTTGATTCCACATGTCTAGTAAGATGCTCATTTAGTGCAACAGACGTTACTATGAAGAAATGTGGCTGTCGTTCTGCTGTTAAAGTGCTTCCTTTTAATATTTTTATTATTTTCTTCTCCAGTAAAAATGAAACGGTCTTTCTGGAAGGGTGTTCCATGAGTGATTTATCTGTTGCCTTTCTGGTAATGCTGTTGTTGAATACAGTGATTCATACTGGTACATGTTTTTCTTTGTCCAGTTTTGCATATCTAATGTATCATCATTATTTATCTGTGTTGTATAGACTGTTCAATGGAAAATGTGAAAAAGATTCTTAGAACTATAATGTTTGACTTTTTTTTTTTTTCTTTTTTTTGAAGCTGCATTTGTTACCATTCTGGAGCACTGCTAGTAGTTGTTATGTTGTATACAGCGATATACATGGTCTGTGTGTTTACTTTTCATGAAATGTCAGGACTGTTAGACTTTAGAAGTGTGGAAAGTGCCTTATTTTTGTTATTTAAGCTAGTTTGCACATGGAATTAGTAAAACTGTTCTGAATTTACTTTCCTAAAGTAAGGTTTCTAAGTTATAGGCAAAATATGCAGAACTTCACAGTAACAAATAGCCCTGTGGCATGCAAATTCTTTCCTGACTTGGAGGAGTAGAAATTTAGTGATTCCCACTTGAAGGAATTCCTGTGTTTTTCAACTGATAGTCACACCTAAAATAAGAAAACAGTGACAGGCAAATCTTTTTGGATTTAAAATAGGGGGATATTTAGCATGTGGGAATGGAGACGACTCCTAATCATTCCCGCTGGAGAATAATTGTGAGAACTTGTGTTATATTCTGCCTCCTTGGATATTGCTGAGTTGCAATGAAGTTGTAATTTTCTCTTTTCCAGCCTTTCATTTAAAGCTTCCCCATGTTTGTGCAGTTGATAACAGGCAAACTTTAAAGTATTCCTATATGCATCTATTTTCCTGATGAAAGGAGGAACATTTTGTTCCTTCCTGCCCTTTTTTTTTTTTTTTTTTTCCTCTTCAGTCTCCTGGTGGTTACAGTAGTGATACTGAGAACCAGTACTGAATTTTCTTTCTGAGGATCTCTTTCCTAAGGAATGTTGCCAATCCCTACCTTCAGAGCTGCTGAGAGATTTCAGTTTAGTCATGACAGGAATTTGCTCAATTTTCATCCCATTTTCTTGGCTACAAGTTTCCTAATAACCGTAGAGAAAACTATGTGGACTTCCTATTAACAGCAGCAACAGAAACTTCACAGTTGTCTGTCAGAGGACTTTAGAAGACTTTGTTTTTCATTCAGCTCACATGTAAAGAATTGTCTTCACAAAGTAAGGGTTGTAGGGTTGTGTATTTTCTTAAAGGTAGCTGAGATTCTGGAGTGGTACAGAAACACGCAGAATTTATATCTTAGTGTATAGACACAGAGCTGCCATTTGAAGTCATCAGCCTTTCCTGCCTTTTTCTTCCTTCCCCTCCCCCTCTTTTGATCATATTGAGAAATCACTGACAGGAGTAATACAAGTTAGGAGGGCAGAGAGGAGTTTATATTCAGGTAGAACACTTGAGGATTTTCTGTCTTCTGTGACTCTTCATTTTTCTCTTAACAGTGAAATTTAATTATTAATTGTTGTAACTGTTCCTGAAGCAGTCTGCTGCTTTGTTTATGGCCTAGTGGAGATGAGTATTAGCTTGAAAATGAGGGGAAGGGATATTTCAGGTATCATTCACTTATTCTGTGCCTTTATCATAATCTAAACTCCTGCTCTATGATGTCGAATTATTCTTTGGTTTGTGTCAGTCCCGTAAATGTTGATGTGTTCTGTTCCTTTCGTCTTTTTTTTCTTTAGAGTATTTTTTGATCGCAGAGTGAGAAATTTGTGAATTTTCTATGTTTGCTTATGTCTCCCAGTCTCTGACCCATTCAGAATTTCTTTCCAACACTGCCTATGTGTCTTTTCAGACCTTTGTTCAGATGTCCTTTCCAATAGTTTTAAGACTAAGAAACCTTATTAACTTCAATGACAGATTATATTTTAGGACCAAAATCTACTTGCTGAGAACTATTTCTCAAAGTGAAACTATTTTCTTATTGTCTTACTTTTTATATGTGCCTGTCTGACTTTTGAGTAAGCCAGGCTACTTCTTAAGACATGTAGAAAAATGCTAAAAATTAACTTATCTGTTAATGCTCTAAAACACATGTTGTAATATGCTTGGTAGCACATTCTTAAATAATAGCCTGTGTCCAAGTCCTCTTCCGCATCATCACCTTTTTTTTAATTTCAAGATTTAGGATTCTAGGAGCCCAGGTTTGTCCTCATCTATCTCCATTCGAAAGCATCTGTGTGCACTATTCTGGTTTTCATTATGGAGGCATTTATTATTTGGTAGTTTTTCCTAAATAGCTACTACTGTAATATTTTTGCACGAAGCGGGACATAGAACCTTCAGGTGTAAGAGTAACTGTCTTGTATGGGATGCTTCATTGGTTATTTTCTGGCACTTGGATTTGGTAGTAAAACACTAGTCTTTCCTCAGAAAAAGTACAGAAAT